ATGGCTTTTGCCCCTCTTATCTCAACAACATATTCGTACTATCTTTAGAATGTTATGGTTACTTGTTATTCATTCTTCTAACTTTTAAGTTTTAGTTTATATTTACGTAGCATGATCAGTGCTCAACTTTGGTAGGTAAAGTTCAGTCATTCGTTGAATCAATCAATTTATCAATTATCATTTCCTTCCCTCCTTCCTTCTTAAATCCTTTCCACATCGTTCGAGACATACCGATTTTTCAATATGTGACATTTATCATTACCACGCATGTTCGAGAACGTGTGTTAATTCCGCCACTTGGAACTGAACTGATTGTTGCCAAAACAACAATGCGGCATCTCCGTCTTCAAAGTTTATTCAGAAAAGAACTACAAAAATATCTGCCAACATCCGAAGACTGAGAGGATTATTTCCTGCACAGGTACCTTGTATATGTTTTCCTTTTCCTTTGCTTTCCTTTTATTCATTTCTTATTTGTTTGTTTATTTCCTCATGCTGATATGACTTTTGTTTGCTTGTCTTCATGCATGTTCGCGTGCTAAAATAATTATTTACTAGTTACTGCATGATATGTTTTTTTAAGAATGAGATCAGGTATAAAAATTCATTCATTCATCCATCCATTCCTTGACCCTTCCTTCCTTTGTTTATTCTGGCATTCATTCAATGGATGAGCGATTGAGTTCGGTGAGGCACCTCTTGAAATGAAACTTCAAAACGAATGACAAAATCGTCATACCTAACATACAGCTGAATATGTGTTAGTTATAGTGGGACTGCCATTCCAAAATACAAGAGATCGAAAAAGGAAATCAGGCTCCCAACTATGCAAAAAACCTTTTTTCACGGACTTTTAGAACGAACAACGTTCTCGACCGTTCAGTCCAGTCCATGAGGTAAATCGTTTGTTATTTCACTTTTATGCTCATACAGTGTATTGCGCTAACCTGGGGAAAGTAGATCTTCTTATATTCTGTTCCAGCAGTCCAAGAGTCCAAGGAAGTGGTTCCTATTTGTGCTTCAGAGGTAGCAGATTGTAGGGCAATCCAGTTTATCTCGATGGCATTTGAGCCATCGCTGTATTCGTAGATGCAAGCGCTGAATTGACTTTTATCTTCTGATTCCACCCACAAGGCAGCACCAGTACTTGAAAATCCAACACTGTTTTGAATGTATTTTTAAGCTATTTTTGAAAACTGTTTTTAACCTGTTTTTTGAAATAGGTTTTAAATAGAGTGAAAAGTGTATTTTTAACGTATTTTTCGACTGCTTTTAAAGGTGTTTTAACCTGTTTAAAATGCTATTAAAAAACAATTTTTAAAGTTTTTTAAAATTCGTTTAAAATATAAAAAAAATCCCAGGGCTTTTGAAAGGCTCAAAACAGGTCTAAAACAGTTTTTAAGTGTTATTGTCAGAAAAAACCGGGCAATAGCAAAAGATCGAGGTCGGCCGTTTACCTTCATGTTTTCACAGTATGAAAGCTATCTGAAAAGATGAACAACCGTGACATTTGGAGAAGTAGCCGTTTGATTTTCTTCGAGATATCACTATTTCGAGATTTTGGGACCTCCGGCGACCTAAAAAAGCACAAATTTTGGCTAACTTTGGGTGAAGTTAAAACATACTTGGCCAAACTCCCAATAGTTCTTATATTTTTTCCATAACACCTATCGCTTCGTTAGTCAACTGGAATACGTTAAACTTCCTTTGCTTAAATACTTTATTTTTTACCTGGTGCTAAAAATCGCTGCTGAATCGTTAATGAGCGTCACCCAAATTTCAGTCATTTTCAGTTGACTGTTTTACCGAGATGCGGCAGTTTATTTCAAAAGTATAATCATTTCTAGATGGCGTATTGTGCTGTTATCAAAATCCAGTTTGTTTAAAATTGGTATCTAGCAGCAAATTGGAAAAAATGGCATGCGAAGGTACAATAATAAGCGTCAAGTATTAATATTTCCCGCCAAATTTTATAGCGCCACGTTTCGTTTTACTGTGATTGTGGCTCGCAGATATCTTAAAGTATACTTTCATGACTTCACTAAAAAGATAATTGAAAACTTTTATATCACTATTGACAAGGATAAACATTGTAAATCTCCGTTTTGATAACAATCTCCTGAATAAACAACTAAAAATGTCAAAAGCACGAAGCCCATTTTTCCCGCGAAAGTTTTAATTTATTTGTCACGCAACAGAGTAAAGCCAGACTTTATTCTCAGTTTTCAGACGGTCGCCAGAAAACAAACTTAAATCAAACAATGCCATCAAAATGAAGACTTATCCTGATTAAGTTACTTCATATGGACACATTTTTCTCCAACTCTTGGACGTAGAGAACACGTAGAGAAGAAAGCAACAGAACTTTTCTCTGCTCAATAACGGAATCTTAAATAAAATCAAGCACGGCAGTGAATGCCTTCAGATGTGCAGATGCCTTCTGATCTGTTTCGGTTTTTTCACGTCTTTTGTGGCTCGGGCTGTATCACGCAGATGATTTAAATACCTCAAGTTAAACAAACTGCGACAGGACGGGTGAAACTGGGCCTCTCGTGCAAACAAATCTTCCCCTTGTACTTTGCGATGAAGATGACTATTGCCAAGCTCGAGGGCTCGAGGCTCAATCTGTTTCCCAGTAGGCTCCTTTAGAGCTCCGTCTTTGTCCTTGAACACTGGGAACTTGATGCATTGCTCTGTTTTTCCACACGATTTCAGTTCAAGCTTTTCACAGAAAATGCATTTGGAGGAAACAGCTGCGGAGCAGATGAGGATGATGATTTACGAGGGGAACGTGTTGTTGTTGTGGCTTCACTATTAGGTGTCACACTGGACTTCAACTTGTCCTGGTTTTTAGTAAACCTTTGGTAACAGGTGATAGCCGGATTGCTTCTAAATTTGCACCCTCGAGATTCTCTGGAATCTGCAAACAAACATCTTCCATGCGATTCGGTGAATCATGAGGTTCCATAACTCGCCTGTCACGAACTTCATGTAATTGGGAAAGCTTCTCAGTAGCAGATCCCTTGACATTACTGAGTGCTGTGAAATCGCCATGATGAATGCCACTCGCATGTAAAATACGGCGAAGAGCGGGCCGCTTGTGCAGAAAGTCTTGTCTGTTAGCGTGGTGACCTTTGCGTTTCATCTCTTAAAATTCTAACAGTGATTTTTTTTTTTAACGATTTAGACTCTTAAAAGTGCAAAACATAGTTCAAATCTTTCTTAAAATAATATGAAAATATGAGTTAACGCATTTTTAATTAGTATCAAAATGAAATCGCAGTTAAAGTACAAACTATCTAAATTTTCACATATATTTTTTTTCGGTTTTATATACAGGCGTGTAGAATAAAAGTTAAAGTGAAAAGAAGAAGTAGCGATACGTAAAAATGCCCTGCATATTTGATAATCATTTCAAATGAGGTTGTAAATTAAACAGTGTCCCAGTTAATAGAAGTTCATGTGCTACTTGGCCTGTTTCACATTAGGATTGTAGTACTAGAAGCATAGTCTGATTTAAGAAGGCAATAGGGTGACTTATTTAATAGTATTTTCGCTTTGATCCAATTCTGGACTTTATAAGATTCTTTTTAATCTGTGGTTGCCCTTTTTTAAAATGGAAAAATTAATAGAGGTAATCATAAAAAACTGAGTTGAATATAATGTTAAGTTTTATTCTTTATTCTGAGCGTAAACCATACTTAATTTGTTTTCACTGTTTACTTCAAATTTATTTGATTTGTCAAAAAAAGGACGTATATACTTTAAAGGTATTCGTTATAGTAAAGTATACGCAAATAAACGTTATTTGCCTCTTTTGATAAACTAATTGTCCGCAATTAAGTTTCATTAGAAAACCAAGATGGCTGCCAAGATGGCCGCCACAAAGAGCACGAAAAAAAGGCCTTGGGACAATATTTCGCGATGGGAACATAGAATTTCTTTTTCAAGACATCTTGAGGATTACAAAAATGTAAGTTAGAAAAATATATCCTAGGGGTGTATGGGTACCCTGCCTTCCGACTAGACTATTTCTCTGTTGTAACTTTTTTGCTTTTACTTCACGGTAATTGATTTTATTACCATTTCTAAGGCCATATTTCAGTATATAACAAATAAACCTTTTGTTAATTTCTGTAAAACTGTAATACTAATTTATCCTGGGTTAATACTTTTTTATCCTGTTGAACAACTTGCTGTATTTTTTTTTCATATCCTTTTTTCTGTTATGCCTCATTTGTGAATATATAAATAAAAAGAGTGTCAGCTGTGGAGAAACTGTAATCTAATTATGTTTGCCCTTTGCGTTCGTTCACTTTCGTTTTTACGAACCCTCGGATTTTCATCAAAAACAGTTGCAAAAGAAAAAGAGACTGTCAATACTAATTTAGTTTACTTTTTGGTTGTCTTGAAAAGACTCTTCTGGCACAGATTACTACAATAGGTGTTGCGACAACTTAGAAGCAAAACGTTTGTTTGTACTTTCAATTAGCTTTGCACGCAAAGTTTATGTTCTCAGTAAAATTAGAGTTCAAGGTAAGAAAAAATATTTTAGCGGGGCTTAAGTATGATTTTCCCCATTGGCTTGATGGCAATAAGGTGTCTTTATCACTGGGTACACGCGGTTTGGACACAATGAAACCACCCTTTTTAAGTAAAGCATCAGTCATGGGAAACTGCAATCTGTCGGAAATACTTGCTTACGGGCGTTCGTGTTCCACCCTTTTGATGCAAATCGTGGGAACTACTTTAAGCTAAAAAAGAAAATCTGTAAAAATGAATGCATTACACTAACCTGAGCCAATAGGAACCACAGCATTGAATAAAACAAAGATTTCCTCTGACATATCAGCGTTTACACGTCTAGGGAGTTTAAGTCCTCTCTTGGTACCTTCATGGTCTGGCTAACAACATATTTCGACTTTACGACCCGGCCAGTTAGTCGTAAGATCCAGCCTATGCTTGGGACAGATTGTCATGGTCTGCATTTCGTCATTGCTAACAGCACCCAAAAGACCTGCACGGTTTAAAATTAACTTTGTTTCGCTGACCTCGGTGCTTCCTCTACCACGTTTTATGCTGATTTTCAGACTAAGAAGATGAAAGGTAATATCTCTTTTGCAGGCAAGTAACGGCAGAATAATCGTACCAACTCCACGCAAGCCACATGGCGATTCCTCCGATCTGAATGAACAATTCATCTTTTGATCTGTTTTCAACCTGTCGTGACGTCCGATCATTAAATTCGTGACAACTCTAGCGATGAAGTAATTTAATTAGGATAATTCTGAATTTTCTTGGTATTATTTGATTTAAGTTTGTTTTCTGGCCAACGTCAAAAGCTCAGAACTGAGAATACAGTCCGGCTTTATTGTACTGCGTGACAAATAAATTAAAACTTTCGCGGGAAAAATGGGCTTCGTTTTTTGACGATTTCGCTTGCTTATTAAAAAGATTATTATCAATACGGTGATTTATAATGTTTTCCCTTGTAATTAGGGATATAAAAGTTTTCAATTATCTCTTCTGAAGTCGTAAAAATCTATTTTAAGACATTTACGAACCACAATCACAGTAGAACGAAACGTGGCGCTATAAAATTTGGCGGGAAATATTAATACTCGACGCTTATTATTGTACTTCGCATGCCATTTTCTCCAATTTGCTGCTAGATACCAATTTTAAACAAACTGGATTTTGATAACAGCACAATAACCCATCTAAAAATGATTTTACTTTTGAAATAAACTGCCGCATCTCGGTAAAACAGTCAACTGAAAATGACTGAAATTTGGGTGACGCTCATTAACGATTCAGGAGCGATTTTTAGCACCAGGTAAAAAATAGAGTATTTAAGCAAAGGAAGTTTAACATATTCCAGTCGACTGACGAAGCGATAGGTGTTATGGAAAAAATATAAGAACTGTTGGGAGTTTGGCCAAGTATGTTTTAACTTCACCCAAAGTTAGCCAAAATTTGGGCTTTTTTAGGTCGCCGGAGGTCCCAAAATCTCGAAATAGTGATATCTCGAAGAAAATCGAACGGCTACTTCTCCAAATGCCATGGTTGTTAATCTTTTAAGATAGCTTTCATACTGTGAAAACATGAAGGTAAACGGCCGACCTCGATCTTTTGCTATTGCCCGGTTTTTTCTGACAATAACACTTAAATACCTTATAAATCGGAATAAAAACAGGATAAAAACAGTTTTAAAAACATATTTTAATTTGCTATACTATTTTAAAACTATTTTTAATGGCAATTTTAAACGTATTTTGACAAAAACAGGTTTAAAATAGGTACAAAAATATATTTTTAATATATTTTTCGACTGATTTTAAAGGTGTTTTAACCTGTTTAAAACGCTATTAAAATGTTATGCTTCAAAATATATTTTAATAGCGGTTTAATCGGTCTCGAAATTTAGTAAAATACTCGTATTTGCAAATACAATAAAAATACTTTGAAAATAGTATTAAAATACCACAGAAGAAGAAAAGCAATAGCACGCATATATTGCGAAAATACATCAAAAATAGGATGCAAAAATGCAAAAACAGGATAAAATTGTAAGAAAATAGCCTTAGAGTTTTCTGAAAACAGTACAAAAATCGGTCGAAAGAGCATAAAAACAGTACAAAAACAGGATGGAAATACCATTTAAGTTCATGAAATAAAATGACTACATAACCGTCGAAAATTACCCTGAAAAAGTAAGATTTGCCTCTGCGAAATTTCTCCACACAGTCCTCGGCCAGGACTTCACGAGAATTATCTCTCAGCCGATTACTTTACGTTGATTTCCCTACGTATTCTCGGGAAATTCTTATGGAATTTTTCAGAAATGCTGAAATCAATCTTTAGCCTATGTACAGACCCCCTCCCCTCAATAAACATCGGAGGGGAGGGGGTCTGTACACAGGCTATCAATCTTCGGCTTCAAAAGGGATTTGCGTTACTGACGTTACCGGTAAATAATAATCTACATACATGTAACTTACATTATTTATTATATTCACGGCTTTACTCACACGGCAAGAAAACCCTCATTTACCAATAATTTTACAAAACGGTAAATCCTAGAAAATTCGGCATTCACCATCTGTTTTCCCACTCCTGAAAACATCCCGAAAATTGCTAATTTTCCTGGTGTGAATCCAAGGAAAATTGGGAGTTAACTTGGCGTTTTCCTGCACTTGAAAATCTCAGGCAAACACCGTATTTTACAAGGCGTTTACATGTATTTTCCAGACCAGGTGAACGCGCAGTTTGTGCGGCATTTTCCTACTGTATTTGTTAACAGTTAACGCAAGGAAAACATGTCATTAACCTACGGTTTTCCACCTCTAGAAAAACATCGACGAACATGTTGTTTTCTAAGCGTTTTCTGTTGTTTTCCGCGGTGGCCAAACGTAGAGTTTTTCGCGGGTTTTCATTTGACAGCAAAACATAAGGAAAACATGACGTTCATTTGCCATTATCCTTCCAGTGATAATGCTACGTTAGCTCCTCGTTTTCCTTAGTAGGTGAATGCGGTGTTTTCTAACCGCACCTGTTAACGGTTAACGCGAGGAAAACATCATCAGGGACACAGAAAACGTGGGTCTCGCGAAAAGTTTGGCCCGATTTCGAAGATCTCAGAAGCGTTTGTGATGCCGGTCTCGAAGTCTCGTTTTCAGGTGACTCCGTGCGTTTCGGACTTTTTAAATCACGGCCTCGAATTTTAAAACCAGGGTTTCTCAGTCTCGCAGTCTCCAATTTACAATTCTTTACCATTATCATCGATCAGGTTCCAGCGTGAACCGAGATCGAACCACCTCGATCTACCGAGCCGTTTTCTGCAACCCGTATGCCGACTTCTGGTCACTTCTGTAACTTACCATTACGAGAGACCGTTGTGATCATCAAAATGCCAGTCTATTAAACCTTATTACAGAATGCAGCATTCAGAAAGCGGACTTGTTAATAATTTGTAATGGTAACAGGACTGAGTGGAGTCCAATTCGGTCTGTAATCATACGAGTGATTAACAAAATCGGACGACCGCGTAGCGGGAGTCCGATTTGTTTAAACACAACAAAATTTGTGATATATAGGGCTCTTTTTAAATCAAAACACAAGAAATTCCAAGATTTTTTCGCTAGCAATGAAAAAAAAAAGCCATTTAAGCACGCGCGTGATGGCGCGTACTGTCGACCAATTACTTAGGCATGACGCGTACTGTCCTATTTAACTGTTCAATTAAGGCTGAAATCAGGGCAGTTGAGAACCAATCAGATTTGAGAATTTTGTTATAGTTATGATTAATAGCCAAACTGGGACGTTGCTGTAGACCCTGTGAACAGAAAGGACAATTTTTTTTTGCCAGCTTCTACAGGTTGTTTTAATTTTACTGGAAGGGAAATGGATTTGATGATATTTGCCTCAAATTCAAATCTAAGACAAATCTGATGTCAGATTTGTCCACCCAACAAATGTCGCAAATGTGAGACAAATCTGTTATTACACTTGTCTCGAAGAAATGTAGGACAAATGTGTTTCAAATATGCTATTATGTTTGCCCTTGTAAAAAGTTTTTTTAAAACAAGACAAATGTGACGAGTAAAAATTCTTTATCGTTAACTTTTCATTAAGTATAATCGCAATTTAATTTTCCAACAATTGTTTCGAAACGTCAGGGATACTCCCTGATTCCTTGTCTATCCGAAGACGACACGTTACTGAAGGACAAGTTATTAAGGGGTAAAGGAAAGAATCAGCTGTCAATGACCGACCTTGGTAACTATTTTGAGAATATTTTATTTGGAAGAAAAAGTAAAGCTCCTCTTAATAAATTAAATGGCAGGACATTCTTGTTATGCTTCAGTAGACAGTTAAGGCAGTTTGGGTATTCTTAATACTTTTCTGTGATTTAATCACTGAAGACAATTTGCTGTCTTGGTAAATATTGAATTGGATAGGATGGGGGTAATCATTGTATTTGTTAGTTCACTCCATGATCATTTTTTTGCCTTTTGGTTGTGACATCTAGCTGATAATGACCTTTGTAACAGTAGACACTGAGATAGCTGGCTTATTTAGGGTGTCATGGGCATGACTGGGTATTTGGTGATTCTGGTACGTTCAGTGATATCTGACAATGAATAGATTATTAATTGCCCATACATATTATCAGGTTTGGTAATGTACACTGGTCCTGATTCTATCCACGGGCTGGGTGAGATATGAAGGGCTGCATGGTAACTGTTTGGTTTGGGGTCACTTTGGCATTTTCTCATAATATTTCAGAATCTCTAGAGTAATTTGGTTGGCTTTACATTTTTTTGCATGCCTCTTGAACAGCATTAATGTGCATTAAAGATATGTGATCTTAGACTAATAAGTTTAAGTTTAAGTCGACCTTCAGACTTAGTAGGAGTGGAGTAAATGTTTCAGACGATAAAAATACTATATTTCACTCTTTGACAGGAGACAATTCATTCTAAATAGGCACTTTGCAACACTTGAATAGCAAAATAATCAAGATGACCTACAGATATACAACAGGATCCTGACTTTGCAAACCCTTGTTTTTTTTTATAACCTCCTGACAATTCAAACCAAAACTGACTACCTGAACATTAATTATTGGCTGATAAAGAACAACATAAGAATAACACCATCAAATTTACGCGAGAATGAAAGAGCGTGACACCAAGTGACTGAGATCATTCATGCAACACAGCCAGGATGAGCATGGAACCCTGTAAAAACTAAAATTGCCGTACAGGCGGGAGTATATAAATGTTTACTACCCTTCATTTGTTTCTCATATGGCGTATACTTAAGCGTCTTAGTAACGTGTTATAATACTCACATGAAAGACTCTTGGATTAACACATAAGACAGCGTGCTTCGAATAGAACCTGAACCAGAACCTTTCAAAGTACATAGTAGTCGCTGAGGAGTCATACCCATTTTTGATTCGTGATAAAAGCAACATCTACGTGTTCAGACAATCCGCAGAGTTGAAATGTACTTTTGTAAGATCGTAACAAACAGTAAAATCAAGCGCACCCGCAATCACAGCAACCGCGGGTTCAATAATTTGAAATGAACAAAGGACAAAGGACGGTTTGTTTATCACGTGCATTTGTCACATCACCGCGGCGCGAAGTCATGATTTCAGTCGCGCGTGACATCTCAGAAATAATATGCTATGCATGTGCGGAATAATCTATGAGAGAAAGGTAACCATATGTCGGAGTTATTCAGATCTGAGCTTTGTTTCTTGATGCAATATATACGAGGTGAGATCTTAGCTTGGATAATTTATTTATTATGTAATTTCAAGGGCTTATTACCGGGGCCCAGCCGAAGGCTGGCACCGGTCTTAAAATGCAGACCGTCCGTTTTTTCAACGTTACATTGTTAGGGATATATCGCTGACTGAGATATATCGCTGGCTCATTGAAATCTTATCCGCCATTTTGAAAAGAAGAGGCATGGAGGACAGTCAAGAGAAAGATTATAGCTTTTTTGGGGAACGACACGTTCCCCCAACCCAACTAGTTTATGAGCGAAAATTTAAGAGTGAATATTTGGAGAGACAAATTTAGGAGCGATCACTTCTGAGACTGAACCTTCCATTGTGAAACTTATCGAGAAATTGAGTGAACCTTCCATCGTGAAATTTATCGAGAATCAAAGCGAACACTTACCAAAATTTGTCTTCAAAAAGATTTCAATGATTGACATACCGAAGACTTCAAAGCTCCATCGCTATGTTAATAAGGTGAGAAAACTTTATCATGCACGATATAAATGTAATAACAAACGCGATCCAAAGATAATTAACTTAAATAAAATGGCTATACCCAAGAAAGCTTATTTGTTGTCTTTCTTTAGCAGGCATTATCACAGGATAATGAAACTAAAAATAATGTAAAGCACGTCGATCTTTATCATTGTTTTCTTGCAATTGTGTGAGTCATATGACCAATTATGTGAATTTCAAACTAAGTAAAGATGTTGAGAAGAATCCAGGACCTACTCAATACAACACTGATCATCATGAAGTAATAATTAGACCTTCTATGCAAAATCACAGCTCAACATTGGTTGAGGTCACACTAGAGACTTTACTATGGTAAAAAGGGCTTTACTATGGTAAGTCTCGCAACGTCTTCTTTACCGTAGTAAACCTGACAGGTCCACTTAAAAAGGCATTTGAAACTTTCCAGGCGTTTTTTCTCGTGTGATCGGTAACGTGAGAGTGAAAAGTAAAACAAATGATGACCTGCTATGAGAGCTGACTAAATTGAAATTACTGAACTGTAACTTCCTGAGCGTGACCCTCACAAGTGTACAAAGATGCTTCAATGTGAGAGAGTATTGTTTTCTGTTGTGAGCATTTTGCTTTTAATTCTGCTGCTCAGACGAGCAAGAAGAATGCGCTCCCTTATTACCTACCTTGGTTTCGAATACGAAGTTAGTGAAGATGTTTTAGTGACAGGTTTATTGATTACTCATCGAAGACGTATTCTTAGAGAAAGAGCGGCATTGCGAAGGCAAGCGTGGGTTTAACCTCGACCCCAGGAATGGTTTGAAGAAATGTACAGAAACAGAAACCTTCAAGCACTGTGGAAAAAGCAATCACCGATGTTCTAAAGCTATTCTGTTATGTGACCCTTTTTGAAACTACTTTCCTCAAAAATCATGACAAACTGTCAACAAAACAAACAAAGTTTAGATAGACTAGAGATATACCCACCTATTTTTTTTGGTAACCAGATGGTTATCGGTGATGGGTCATCTTTGTTCTTTCCGCGGTGGCTCATGGAAATTAACCAGGGTAGAGTTTACCATTGTAAACTGAAAAATGCCGGTCACACTTACGGCGCCGTTTACTATGGTAAACTTGAGTTTACTATAGTAAACTTTCTCTAGTGTGACCTCAACCAATGCAGTTGAACTCTCCTATTTCCTCTGAGAATTTGATGCAGTCAAGATTAGGTGCACTTTGTTTACAATCAATAGATGTTGGCGGTGCAGGTGATTGTTTCTTTAGATCTGTATCACATCAATTATATGGCAAAAGCAACCATCACATGCATATACGTACTGCTGGGGTTCAATTTATGAGAGGCAATCCTGAGAGATTTATTGAGAGCAATACCGAAAATTCATGGATAAGATATCTGAATAATATGTGTATTGAAGGTACATGGGCTGATGCACTTATCATTCAAGCAGTTGCAGATATACTACTGTTTACCCAGTTCAGGAAAGAAATACTTCCTCTACAATAATTACTATAGGCCATATTGATGAATGCCACTATGTATCAACCACTGCCTTACAATCAAGTGCCTCCATTTCAATGTGCAATGAATTAACAAATGATACTCAGTCATCAATAAATAAGCATTTTATTATGTCTGTATATAACACTGGATGACATTTTTTACAGTGCAAGACAACAATCCATGACCACAAAGATCTATTTCAAAAATATCTTATGTCTGTTATCATTTCAAATTCACAGTGTTTTCGCAAAAAATAGATAAATGTGATTAATAAATCTCAATGATAAACCTGATGATAACGTACTTGAGATAATGTGAAATTGTGATAATTCTGTAACAAACTTCTTTGCAAACTTTGTCATTACCATTCAACCCAAAACTGTCAGTGATTTTTGCTTTTTCACTCAAACTTAAAAACAAATGAAAACCTTATACAGATCACACTTATTGACATCACAGTGTTACTAAAAACACTACTATAACACAGACCGTACGCTGTAATAACACTGAACAAACTTACAACAACATCCTCCTTTCTCATGCATTTTGTTGCTTTTCTTCTGCATGAGTTAATTCAGACTAAGTATTAGCCTCCACAGAGGAGGGGGGAGGGGTGCGAGAGGTAAACTATATCTATGCAATCCCGTATCCCACTGGGCCCCGGTAAGTTCCACGTAGTGGTTCTAGTTTTAGATAAACCTCTGTTGACCGCGTGCATCCGGTTCTCGGCCCGCGGCCTCGGCTGTTTGTGAAAAATTTCCAGTAAAATGCGATCTTAAGAAGTTTCTTTTAAAAAACTTATGGAATGCCGTAACTGCATTAATTGAATCACGGCTAAAATCTACGAGGAGATTTTCGCAGAGAGCTTGCAGGTAATGAACATTGAGGAACGGATTGATCTCTTGTCGGCACACTGTCACAGTTACGTGTTGTCAGTCAAAGCTAAAATCTATTCTTAATTTTCTTCTCTTTTTTTATTTAATTTAGATTTAATTTTTCGCTCAGCTTTTAACTTTGTTGAGAAGAGAATCCGGTCTAAAATATGTGACAGCATTTGATGTCTTTAAGCAGACTTAAAATAGTTTATGTATAATCTGTTTTTATAGTCAGAGTGTTGTGTGTCCAAACTACAATTCAAATATACCCTCAAAACAGTGTTTAAGTACCCTATTTAAAAGTATTTAAAATGCGGTCAGTTCTTAAGGTTTTAAAACATATTTCAACTAGTCTATTTGAACTCTGTTTGTAACTTTTTGAGTGGATGAGTCTCAAAATACATTTTAGATACAACTCAAAACAGTGTTAAAGTACCCTATTTAAAAGGATTTAAAATACGGTCAGCATTTAGGCTCTTAAAATATATTTCAAATAGTCTATTTGAACTATGTTTGTAACTTTGTGAGTGGATGCGTCTCAAACTACATTTTAGATACAACTCAAAACAGTGTTAAAGTACCCTATTTAAAAGTTTTTAAATACAGTCAGCATAAAAGCCGTTAAAACAGATTTCAAATAGTCTATTTGAACTCTGTTTGTAACAGTGTTAGTGGTTCTATGCCCAAAATACACTTTAAATACCCTATTTTAATGATATTTATTAAACAAAATACATTGTAAACTGATGAGAGAGGTTTTCGTTTTCATGAAATACAATTTAACTACACTCAAGATATATTTCAAACAGGGGCGAAAATTTAAATTTCTTTGTCAAATAGGATTAAAATACAATAAAATAGTGTTCAAATACTGAAAATACATTTTAAATACTTTAAAATCAGCTTCAAAATACATATGGTTTGGTAAGGGAGGCGAAGCAAACACTTTTACTTACTTTCCACTGGGGAATGGTTCTGCAAACGTGATTTCGTTTTTCACAAGCAAACAACCCTTCGCCATTCAGAGCAGTGATATTATCGAGTTTTCCAGATTTGAAACTGACTGCTGTAAGAGAAAACATTTATAATCTAACGTTAACTCTGAACCATGATATCGGCGGATTCATTGTATGATCAAACGCATTGAGCGTAAGGTCCTTTGAAGTACTTAGAATAAGATTTTCTTATGCGCCCCACCCCAATCTTTGCCTTCCGTCCTTGAAATGAAACGTTTAGTTTCCCGCAAAAGATTGCCAAGAATTTTGGACACTTTGATATTTATATCCGTGTATAGTCCGAGGGCAACGCGCTCCCTCCTCTAGCCCCCTCCACCATCCTGCTTTAACTGAAGAAATACTTCCTCTCTTGTAAATGATATTTGTATTGTGTTCACTTTGAGGAATCATTTCTATTGCTTTGACAGTTAATTAAATAGGCAGTGAAGCACTATATACCCTAAAATGGACATACGTTATCATTGTCCTAAAAAGGTCGCGGATCGAGGGGGGCGAATATTCGTTGGATAATTGTATCAGTCAAGAAAATCATTTTCGTATCACACTGCAGGAAAGTGTTTTTAAAATATAAGAACAATAGAAGTACATGTATGTACGGTGTACACACCCGTAGGCTCCTTTTGTTTTGTTTTTAACCCCCCTTACACTTCTTTGCTCCCATGAGAGCAGACATGCAGATCCGGACGTTTTCTGCGTAGATTGTTTCTGACCCGCGTTCTCTTTTTTGTCGCTGATAACAAATGTAGGCGTCGATTTCCTCTCGATTGTCGCATGTTACTCTTTTTATCTTTGACCTAATATGTCGCTTAGAATTATGTTCCCAGTCCGAGTGCGACGACAAAAAAAGTCTTCCACTGCATCATTATACATTTCAGGCCATAAAGATTATAGAGCGTATAAGGATTTTCTATACCTTTTTCATTCCTTTTACAAACAACTTTTCCAACTATTTTAAATCATTTACACCTTTTGTCAAGGCTCTCTTTGCTCGCCCGACTTGTCAAGATAAGAGTTCTCCTTCTTTAACTATTGACAGTATTGCAGCTCCCAAGACTGTCGACTTGCGAATAAAAGGACCTTGATTAATACGCGTACGGTTTTCTAGAATAATTGCAACAGTAATGAATTCAGCAAAGCATCCTAGCTGGAGTCTCTGTGGATTTACATTTTCATTGTTGTTGTTGTTGCCTTGGAGAATCAGCTTAGATCTACACATTTACTATGGCTAGAATTTCACTTCCTTGACACCCAACTCTGAGAGGGATCACATACATTTTCGATCCAAAGAAAGATCGTCTGTAAGTGTAGTATAGGTATTTCTGTCTCTTAAGCCTGGTTTCCATATGATCGCTACGATCGCCGTGATCGCTGCGATCGCTGAGAAAAAAAAGTTCAGCGATCGCAGCGATCACATGGAAAACACTCTCCAGCGATCGCAGCGACAACAATCGCTGAGATAGAAAAAGTTCCATCTCAGCGATTGTTGTCGCTGCAATCGCTGTGATCGCTGCGATCGCTGTAGAGTGGTTTCTATATGATCGCTATGATCGCTGCTATCGCTGAACAGAAATACCTCTACTACACTTACAGACGATCTTTCTTTGGACCAAAAATGCATGTGATCCCTCTCAGGGTTGGGTGTCAAGGAGGTGAAATTCTAGTCTCTCTCTTCTCTCTACTGTCATCTGGGTGAAAAACTGTCGTTCAAAAAGAGGTATTAAACAGTGCCTAGGAGGCCTGAAATACAGTCAGAACGCAAAGAAAAACAAGAAAAGCCTAAAGGTAAGTTCAAAGCGATATTCAATGCACATTTTATTAGTTTAGTGAGCAAAGAATATTTCTCATACAACGTCTTATAATTTTTTGGCTGTATGAATAATTGCCACCGCAGGGATTTCGCCCAGAAGGCGAAATCCCGAGGAGGCACTCTAGTGACTCGCGTGTATATTAAGGAAAGTACTTACAGTTGAAATATACAGTCATACAGTCAATATAGAAAAAAATTGCGATTTTCTTGAACAGGGGCCGCGGGAAATCGGTAGGTAATGATGACGTTTCTATTGTTTGCGCCCGCAAGTACGAAATGGTTAGGATGACGTAAAGACAGAAAATCCCGAAGGGACCGCTCAGGTAGATTTTGTGACATTTATTCGTGCAGTCATACTTCGATACCCTTTTGCGTTACGCAGTGACATTCTGTGGAGCAGTTGTTTTGAAAGTTATGGACCAAAAGACACTCGTTAAGCGCAGATGAGGTTATAAGTTGCGTTTAACTGTACATATATAAACACTTGGAGAGTTTGCCAGACACGAGTTCACAAGTCTTTGATTTATATTGGAAACCTTTGCTCAATTATTCCCTGCTCACAGATGTCCTTCCGTTATAAAGTTTCAAATAAGACTAGAATGCGCGAGCGTGAATCGACCAAACGTCCTTTTAATTTGTAAGGCTTACCTTCCGGCAAATAAAATGAACTGAATGTAAAAAGTGAAAGAGAATTAGCGACAAATTCAACTTCTAATTAAATATTTTCTTATGGTTAAGAATAAACTGTTCTCGAAACTGAGAATATTTTGATCAAAGCTGTGTATTTATCTCCCCTATTGTATGGAACTGATGTGTGAAAATCTTCATTATGAATCGGTATATTTCAAAGAGCTACATAACGAGCAAGAATACTATTGACCGACAATATACAGAACGGGGCAGCTGTAGTGTCAACTATGACTAGTTAATTAGCCTAGAAGGGTAGTGTTGTTCTTGGCATCCTAAGAGGCCTAAAACGTAGTCAACACACAAATAAACATAATAAAATACTACATGCAAGCTTAAAAGGAAAAATTTAAAGCACGTTTCGCTCAATTATGGAGAAGTAGGACACTTCTCGTACAACACCTTATAATTGTTGCCGTATGAATAATTAATTAGCTAATGGATAATGTTGCTCAGGGCTCTCATAGTGAGCTTGGGCTACCTGTGCGATCATATAGAAACCTGCAGGCTTTACTGTGACAAATCGATGAAAAGATTTGCAGCAAGCTAGGAGAGAAGCCGGAAGGTTTACAAGAAGGAAAGGGCTACGCCGTTCATTCTCTAGGTTACTTGGCCTTAGCCTACAACAAATTTGCACGCGCAGCATACTTTTTTGAACAGTTCTTTGGCGTCAATGCATTGTTACGACGCACCGTACAGCCTAATTTCACGTTTTATCGAGAACGCAAACAAAAGAAGACGAATTTATCTCCCTCACTCTCTTTGCCCTTGGACATTTTTCTGAGGTATTCGTGTGCAAGAGAGTTCGTCTTCATTTAGCAGAGTTAGCGAATTGGAATAATCGCCCTGAAGTTTCAAAGAATGCAAAGTCACTTTTTAAGTGACGTTTTCGCCGCCGTCGCCTATGGGGTATCTTAAAATCCCTAATATCATTCTTCACAATACGTTGATTGGCATTTGCTGTGAACTTTGGAGTAAGGCAAGGCAGAGGTGAATTCTCCTTTCACTGCGCGGTCCTAGTGATTGTTACCACAATTGAGAAACACAGGTCAACTTAGAGGAATACAATGGACCCTATTTTCGAAATGACCAGCCTTGACTTCGTCTTCTGAAGGGAGTAACAGTGGTTATGCAATAAAGCCAAAAAAAACAGTACAACGACAAGCAGACACCAAAACACGGTCCAATACATCGATAGTAAGTCTTGTTCATTTCATTGAACGAAAAATTAGATTTGACGTTATTTAGCGTTCGCAAATCTCAGTATTTGATTTCTCATACATAGTCTCTTATTTTCAACGGTCGCCTGTAACACGGTGCGTACCGGCGCGTCCAGCACAAACGTCACGCGTCACCCTTTCCTCGTAACGTGAGTTTGGGCCGCCTGTGACGAAACTAGAATTCATTGCTGACTTTTTTTATTTGGGCAGCGTTATTAGCCCGGGGGGAGGGGCACTCCCATATTCGGCCTTTACGGGTATGTGCTGCTGATCATGTTATCAAATGGCTTTCAGGGTCTTGAGGTATATAATTTCACTATTGAGTGTCTTGAGCATGGTTTCTTTTTAGACCCCAAGCCTTAAAACAGGGTGTGAAGTTTGGCGGTGTGCGGTCTTGGTGTGTAACGAAGTTTTTTAAAATAATCTAATTCAGGATTGACGTTTCATTTCCGCAAGAGTTCTACGCGACTTGCACACTTGATTCACACAGTAAAACTCCACCGTCTGCCTGGGTTTAGCTCAATCGGTCAAGAGCCCATCAAATGATGAGCTTCTGAATCGGTAGAACGCTTTATGTATTAATCTGGGGTTTAGGGGATTCTGGTAGTGAGAACTGGAAAATAACGCCAACGAGCAAATAACCTTGTCATCACTCAATACAAACACACGCATGTGACAGGTATTTCACTAAACTGTACGTTTATTTCTCAAAGAGACTCCAATCCTAATCCAAAAATTGCCTCAACATCGTGCGAGAGTTGACTGTAGGCCTCTTGTGTGTTTTCACATGCCGTCATGGCGGCCTTATTTGTGTCCCAAAACAATAAAACGGCGGCCATTTGAACTCTTTTCTTATGTAAACGCTTTCTTTTGTTCCAATAAATTTGCATAGACGCTGGCCACGTGAGTGAAAACACAGAATAGTCGTTATGAACAATTATAGTTTGTTTCCGATCCAACTTACAGAGTGCATCCCTATACAGATCAATATAATAACAAGTAAGAAGATTCATACCCCGCCCTTCTCTGCATATCTTCTAAGTTAAAACATCTCTCCATTGTAGTTTATTTAACAGGTGCATGGCGTTCTTTAGGGAGAGGAGCGACGACCGGAAGTACGTCTGCTGTACGCAGGCTAGGCGTTCTTGGACTCAGTGTATACAGCTATTCCGAGAAACTCAGTTCACGGAAAAATGAGCACGCGACAATCCCGAAAGGTTATATGGGATATGTTCAATACACTGTTCATGACACTGTAGCTGTCGAACCTACCTTTGCTGCTTCCCTTTAGCACTCGCAAACATATGTCCATCGCCTCTCGTGCCATTCTATCAAATTTCTTTGAACAGTGAACTCAAAACCACCCACAATACCTTTCGGGGTTGTCGCCTGCACTTTATCCGTCAACCTTTCTCGAAATAGCTGTATTCATCGTGACAAGTGACACAAAAAACTGCATTACTAATTTTGTAAGATATTATTTTACCTAGTTTTGCTTCCTGGTAAGTCCTATTACCACTATTTTTTTCTTACTTGATCTTTAACACGGCTTAAAAGAATATTTATCCTCATTTTAAGTTTCAAGAAAACTGTTCTTGCTTGCTAACGCGAATTGTACGTTGTGCGGCGTCATAGTTTTTTTTTCTACCTTTGCTTAACCCATTCGCCCCTGAACCGCCCGTAACCGCCCGTGCGGATCCAGGTCCTTTCTACCCTTTGTGACGTCATCAGTTTTAACGGTCAAGGACAACTTTGTTTGCTAACTTGTGTAGAGTGAAGAGATCTTTCAAACCATACCAGAATGAGCACAATTCAGTCAAGGAGACCGGAGAAAGAAGCAAAAAACCACGTGACATTGACCTGAAAATCTCCATGAAAATCTTGTTCCATTGCCCACCTACCTTTCCTTTCACCTAATCCTAAGATCCTAAAAGCTTTCCTAAAAACTCTTCCCACCAAAATGAAGCCTACTAAATGCCCAGCAAGAGAAAAAAAAAAAATGAGGCAAGAAAAGCGAAAAAAGAAGGGAGGAGAAAAAGCGAAAAGTACAAGTCAAGACTGCTGTGTCACTTTTTTTCTGCGCATGCCTGAACTTCGCAAGCTGATGTTTTGCATCTGGATCAGAAGGCCGCCAAGTGTACGACCTGTAAACCGGTTTGTGGTACGTTTTAGCCCTTTATGGCACGACAGTGACCAGAAAACCACTCGACTAGCTTCAAAACGCGTTTTTCGGCAAAATCTCCAGGAGCGAATGGGTTAAGTTATAGAAATTCAGATATTGAAGTTAAGTGCGATTTTTCCTTTTTTTCTCTTTTTTCTTTCTTCAGTTCAATGAAGCCTACTTAAGCGAAATGATAGAATAGGTAATACTTTACTTGTATCTTGTTTTTAGTTAGTGCTACAATAACGGAGACTACAAGTAGGTGTACCACTAAGATGGTACACATAAACCACAATTTCTCACTTTGATGTTTCTTGCCCAGTGACAGCAGTTATTACCGTTGTGAAAACACACCCACCTCCTGACCCGACCATCTGCTACTGTGGGGTGTCCACCCTTCAACCAGCCTGCAGCATCAGTGTTACACCTTTGGACAGGTGGACATGAAGTTGGCATTCTTGTGCCGGCGGACCCTTCAAAACGAAACCATCCAGGGCCGATACCTCTATCACAATAATTGCGCCTTCCAGAAGTTATCCTCCTGTTAGCATTGTTCAAACTCCCGTAATTTTGACATTCTAACATAGAAAAAAGACAATTGTTAAAATGATCAAAACTTGAAGAAGCTGGAAAGCATTGGATAGCTTTGCGGTTAAAATGTTTTACAACGCTTGTCCCAAGCGGCGAGAAGCGAGGAGAAACGGCTGCTTTTGCAGGCTGACGCGAGATAGAAAGGCTGCTTTGACGCTTTTTGAATTGCTTTTGCGTTCTCTGTCGTTCATTTCGCTGGCCACCAGAAATGGAGAGCTTAGAAACCATACATTCCCCGCTAACTCTAACTAAGTCCCATTTCCCTTAAGTTTCACCCCGCTTTGTAGTCATTTTTCCTCGGTTGACTCCCGCCCTACACGAACTGGGATAACACGCACTGCAGGCACTGCAAATGGATGAGTGATCTCTGCTACATACGATGAAGTAGGGAAATAGTAGGCGGGTTAAACAATAATTTTTGGCGCTAAAACTGGTTCAGTTCAACACATTGACGCGAGTTTTTTTTTTCGTAAAAATTTCGTCACAACATTCAGTGTCAAAGTGTTGCGGCCGTAGATTTACAAACACGAGCCCCAGGTGAATGGATCTACTACTGCGAAACTTTGACAATGTTATGACTTTTATTATCAATAAGGGGATAGAGGAAGATTTAAAAACAGAAAAAAGCTGGCGTCAATTTGCTTTTCACCATACCAAAAGCTTGGGAAAAAGGATCAGGAAAAACATTTATTTTACTTTTCAAAAAGAACTTACAAGGGAACCCCGTTAATACGGGAAATCAAAGGGGCATGCCATGTTGTCCGTATAATCCGGGTGTCCCTGGGCTTTCCGAAAAAAAACGTCACAGACAAATGTTGTATTGATATAAAGACTAAGGCAGACTGGGAGGACGAAGGGTAGGAACAATGACTGCGGCGAATTCGAAAAGCCAAGGAACTGAAAATTGTGTATAGTAGGAGGTGAAAGAAAAAAAAATGAAATTGTACAAGGGTCAAACACGGGAAGAAAGACTGGCTTAAAATCAAACATATCACGCTATTCTGCTGCTTAAACCCAAAGAAATCTGTCGTTGTTTGAACAGTGCACAATGCCTACTATTAGCAAGGACAATGGACGGTAGCTACATCTTCCAAATGATGTAACCGTGTGCCAGTTATGAGAATTTAGAGACGGGACTGGAGACAATCAGAATTTTAACATTTGTTTCACCGAGCGTAAAATTTATCATCTTTCCTTTCTTTGAAACAAGCTTGTGGCCCTTTCACATCTCAATCTCATGCTTCTATTTAAACCATTTTAGTTAGAAGGGTCTAACGAAAAAGTGATCTATGTTAGTTGGACCTTTCAAGTATGTAGCACCCTAGGTGACCATTCGCCTTCGTTGTACAACGAATTTACAACGAACCGTGTTCATATATTTCTTATAGTGAAACTTCTTTATCTCTCGTAAAAAGTGGACCAAGAACCCTGATCATGAGTCCACCCGATCAGTTCATGGCAGCTGATGTGGTCCTTGTCGTAACGTTTCAGTTCCTGCCTCCCGTTTTCTTTGCTCAAGTGGCCTAAAAATCGTACTCTTGCACTTTTCTATGAAGTACTGGTCAGAACTCTATATGTTATCTTGGGTGTTTCTTGGTGTTATGGAAACCGACACTTTTGTTTTGTTTTGTGGGTATCGATAAGTTTTCTTCTCTGCAACACCAAGAACTGACTACCATTATGCAGTACATTATTTCAGTGACGTCTATAACAATGAGTCCGTTGATCCCCAAACCGTTATCTTGAAGTCCAGAGATGCGAAAAACTAAAATAGTAATTAAAAGGCTGGTTTAGTCTTGTAGGTACGAAACGAGTACATGTATATCTTCACACGGTGGAACCTCCCGGTTCACGCTACCCGTCTGGCCATAATTGGGGTTTAAGATTCGCGGGTGTTAGCTCGCGGCTGCTGTTTTTGTTTTCATTCATCCACTTACCTCTGTTTTAGCTGAGAAATTGTTGTCTTCAAAATTACAGTTTTTTGAAAATGAAATTCGATTATCAATAAGCAAAAGAGTTCTAAAAAGTCCTCTTTCTTCTCAAACGTGGGATTGTGATGTTTTAGGGTGCAATAAACCTTGCAGTAAATCACTTCCCTCCGGAGCGTGGTCCGGCCGTACAAACGTGAACCTCAAACCGCAAACCTGACGGCAAGGTCCTGGTCAGGTGACTTCTTGACGTTCGCGGTTCTCGGGAAATGCTGAAAAACCTCAATCTTAAGGTCCCTATTGTCTTAATTCTTTTATTTGTAACGGACGCCAGTTATAAGTCGCCTAACCTCGGTCGCTAACATGGCTCAGTTGTGCGCCTTATTACCCGCTCTTCCTGCCTCAAACTCCCTTCTGCCGTTTACAGCTTCTTTTCTCCCCGTTTCCAGCTATAATGCATACCAAACATGAAAAGGCAAACCAATTAACTGACAAACAGCATTTTATTTATTCACTACTACGTCATACTACTAGACAGAAGTTTAACACGGTCTTTTCCAGTTGTCCAGAGGGACTAATTATATCTAAGATGGACATGCATCTTCTTTAATATTCTTTAAATGATCTTAATAGGTCTCGCTCCATATCCCGTGTGCAATGATGACACGAGATGACGTCTTTTTACTGCTTAGACCTGAATTCATTTCGATTGATCCTTCATGAAAAATTTGGTAATCCCGTCGAGGTTTTAAAAAACAAAGCCCTCGTTTTCACAAGAAAGGAAAAGCCTGAGGGATTCTGAAGTAAAATTACACCAACGTACAAGAGCAGGAGGTTATAAATGCCACTAAATTGTGCCTTTATTTTTCAATGAAACTCCTATTCTAATATAGTCCAAAAATCAGGGCTCAACCCTGTGTGGTCAACTTTGGTTTATTCAGGTCACTCTCGGGACCCCGAGTTAGTGTCCTTGATAGCAAACAAAAGTCCGCAATAGGGAGGGATTTAGTGGCTGTTCGTATTGCCGGGGTGCCCGTAATAGCAGGGTGTCCGCAAGGCGAGAGTTGACTGTATCCCTAGTCCTTATATCCATTTCGCTCCCGATTTCACAGAGTGCTTCCCTGGACCGATCAAAAAACAAGGAAGCAGTTTTATACTCCGTACTCCCTACATCTTTAATTATCATGCTGTCCATCGTAGTTTATTTAGCAAATGCATGCCATTGTTAGACTCAGTAATTAGCATTAATTTCAGTTGACATAATATGTTTTGGAGTTTTTTCTAAGTTTTCATTGACATGATTTTTTTCTTGTTTACTTGAAATTTGCATGTAAGCGGGGCGGAGCCCACGTCTCAAGCCCCGAAAGGTCTGGTTCCAAGTTAGAATCTTTTTATGAGAGATGTGTTTTTTGTGCTAGTTGCATCGGAAAGTTTTGTAATCCGCCTGAATTAAGTCATTTGCAAAGCTTTCTTTGAAGAGTGTCATTAAAAATTAATTCGCCATTACATAATAAAAATGTTTAAGTTTAATATAAGCACTATAATTTGCCAAATGGCTTAAAAGTAGTACGTTGTTCTATCTCACTTTTTCTTCCTTTGCTTAAGTTATTGTAAACAGATATTGATATTGAAGTTAAAGTGTGAGTAGAGTCTTCCTTTTAGATGGTTACTTTGTTTTTACAATAAAGCCTACTTTAGCGAAATGATAGAATATGTATAGACTTTGTTTGCATTTGTGTCTAGTTAGTGCCACAGTAACGGAGATTACAAGTAGGTGTACCACTAAGATAGTACACGTAATATGAACCACAATTTCTCACTTTTATGGTTCTTGAGTAATAATAGCAGTTGTAACCACGTCTAAAATACACCGTCCTGGTGACCTGACCGTCCGCTACTGAGGAGTGTCCTCCACTTAGCCAGCCGGGATAATAGGTACCACACCTATAGGTAGGTGGACATGATGTTGCCATTCTTGTGCCGGCAGACCCCTGGAAACGGAACCATCCAGGGCCAAGACTGCTATCACAATAATGGTTGCCCCAGTAATACGAAGTCCTTCGGCTTCCGCTGTTGAGACTCCCGTAGTTCTGACATTCTGACACAAAAGAGGAGAAAGAACATCAGTCGCTAGCAACGTTTCAGTTAGTTGTACATCAGCTCGATCGCCCGATATAAGGGAACCCAAGACAGTCCTGGATTCTGGATTCCACCAGCAAAAATTTCTTGGATTCTGGAATCCGCATTCCTTACACGGGGCGAGCTCGAGGTAAAAGAGGGGAACTGTTCATGTTCTAAATTCCCCAACCACATCCTCACCGTTGACCAACAACAACACAGGAAGAAAACACCATTACCCATGAGCATTATATGTTAGGCATCGTCATAACTTGTGCCAGTATAAACCGATGAGTTATCTTTGCTACATACGACATTAAGTTTTGATACAGGACTATACATGGATTCATGTACCGCCTTTAGCTTTGCCGAGTATTTCTCAGGGAAAATAGGTCCGTGGATATATAAAAAAAGTGCTTGAATATTTCAGGATTGACGGATAATTAATAATTACAGGTAAAGATCTCAATTTTGTAATCATGAAGCTGATTCAATCATTCAATACTAACATTTGCAACAACGTTCTGGCAACTAACAATTGATTATAAGCCTTTTGCGTACAAAGATTCGCTAGACTTTGAGATTTTTTTCTGTGCCAGTTATATTGTCAAAAGACTGTTAACTGAAAGGTCTTTTCTTATAAGCACTCTGCATAACCACCATAGTATATTTATACAAGGTCACTTATAATGAAAACGTAGTTTCTAAACGCATTGAGCACGGATGCCCGATACAGCTTAAGGGTCAGCTATTCCCGTCTTGCTCGGCTTCATGACGTAGGCAATAATTCGCCATTTGAGCCATTTTTTTGCAAGTAGCTAAAATCTTCGTAAGGGTAAAAACAAACAAAGAAAAACAAAATACTGTAGAACATACGCAAAAAAGTCGATCTTTGAATACGTTATTTGACCAGTGACAAAAGGACGCGTAGCAGGGTCCTCATTATCCTACCCTGTTGCTCAAAATATTGCACCGCAAGATTTGTTTGGCGGGCACTATGCTGATTGTTTTACAAAACCGAAATCAAGAATACAACTCTTAAGACTCCATAAGACTACCATCAAAACGGAAATGAACAAAGACAACAACAACAACAAAAAAAAAAACACAGCGATCGTTTAATTGTTCGTGTACTTCTGACTCAGAAACTTATTCACGTGTATTTCCTAATCTTATAGGTAATTCTTATAACTCGCCTCGTTATTGTTGTTCGGTTTTTCATAGAGATAGTGACTGCTATCGCAGTTAATTAGCAAACTTGAGAAAGTCAACTCCCCTTAAAGTAACAGTATAAATTGCACTAAAGTAGACGTGCCCACAAGTCGAGCCGAATACTGTGCCCTCTCAAGGCCGTTTCCTGCAGGACGTCGTTAACAAACAAGGGTATTCCCCGTGAACATACAGTGGTCGAAGGACTCAAAAGCTTTCCTTTTAAACCGGCCAATGGATTTTAAACGTAAAACCCCGTTCAAGCAGCCAAGGTCAGCGCATGGTGCATCACTCACTAGTGTACAGGTTTGATAAAAGAAAATCTTCCTACTTATATTATCCTCGTTATCTTTTCCTAATTACCTGATGGTAGATTGCAAGTTCTGCCATCTCCAATGTAAGAACTGTTACATGAACAATTAAAGGATCCCGCTGTGTTTGTACATAAAGCACGTGAACTGTGACAGTCATCAGTACCGCTAGCACACTCGTCAATATCTGGAAATAAACAAAATAGCAATAAGTATAATCACGCCCATTTTCTCAGTAAAGAGGTAGCAGGAGACAAGGGAAACGGACTGAAATAACATAAACTTGATCAAAAACAGGTTTCAGCAATCGTTGCACTTACTGGACAATAACCATTGCACTTACATTGTTTGAGTTTGCACTGTCTTGACAAGTTTTAATGTCATGGAAAAAGGAACGAGGACAATAACATTTCATTTTTTTCTAAACTAAATCTATTTTTCCGTAGCAGTTTTGCGCTCGACTAGAATGCAACCCCCCGATCTTGTGTGTGGTTGGCTGTTTTTCTTTTTTGGGTGTCCTGTACACGATCTAGCCAGGACGTTTTGACCTTCCAAACAATCCTGTGGTTACTAAGATGGCGCTCCCACAGATATTTTTTGCAGGGCCTTGTGTACATCGCGCTCTCTCAGCCTTTGCAGCCAATCCATTCTCGCGAGTGCGTCATGTGCGTTTTTCTTTCGTTGCGTATCTGAAAATAGTATTTTCAGGACTTTTCATCGCAAAAACGTTTCCCTTTCGTTGTCGAGCTGTGAACGTACTTAAGTAAGGCAAAGAAATTCTATGGGGACCAATCAGAACTGAACACTTTTTGGCGAAGACGAAGAGTTTGAAATCATGCCACAAGAAATTCCCTTGAATTGAGGCGATACGTACTTTCACTATATGCAAACAAGGACCAAATGAAAATGAAATAGTCACATGATAAGCGCGTGGTTTATTTCGAGGGATGACTTTCAATAATAAGCCATTACTTTTTAACAAGTTTTGTCCACAGGGGGTCCACACAATAGGTTTGTGTAGCCGATTGTTATTTTATAGTAAATGCACAGGCAGACCACCCTCTGTTAGTGGGGGCCGTTGTTGATTGAAATCTGAGCAACGATCTTTTGTTATTTATAGAAGAAATACATATGAACAATACGGTGGCTATAATTTGTTCCAAAATGCAGAATTCAAAGCAAATTTTTCAATAAACGTTTGAGGAAAATGCTAACTGAGCCATGTGTCATGTTTTTTTCGCCGTCCCGTGCTGTTTTAAGCGCTATTTTGCGAGATGAATATTTGACCTCGGCGGTTAGAACTAAAGAAGGAGACAAGGCAGGCAGCAATCAGCCGCCCGTGCGTGACCCAGTCCAATTTACGCTGGAACTGACGCCAAACTATTTAATTTCTTACCTCGAAAATACCGGCTCCCGATCCAGTAGATATGTATCCATGCCCCATCCGAATGAGAGCTCAGTCCTTCCAAAATTTCTTGAGAAAAGCGATCCTGAAGTTGAAAGACCAGCTTTCTCAATATGACCGGTGCACAAAACTCAACCAAAGGCATTTGAGGTATGTGCGTTGATTCAAATCCACCAATCAGCGTATCACGACCAAACAAACATCCCTGTGCGGGGTAGGGTTGTGGTTTTGAACTGCCAACGGTCGTGATACGCTGATTGGTGGATTTGAATCGATGTACATACCTCAAATGCCTTTGGTTGAGTTTTGTGCACCGGTCATGTTGAGAAAGCTGGTCTTTCAACTTCAGGATCGCTTTTCTCGAGAACTTTTGGAAGGACTGAGCTCTCATTCGGATGGGGCATGGATACATATCTACTGGATCTGGAGCCGGTATTTTCGAGGTAAGAAATTAAATAGTTTGGCGTCAGTTCCAGCGTAAATTGGACTGGGTCACGCACGGGCGGCTGATTGCTGCCTGCCTTGTCTCCTTCTTTAGTTCTAACCGCCGAGGTCAAATATTCATCTCGCAAAATAGCGCTTAAAACAGCACCACACGGCGAAAAAAACATGACACATGGCTCAGTTAGCATTTTCCTCAAACGTTTATTGAAAAATTTGCTTTGAATTCTGCATTTTGGAACAAATTACAGCCACCGTATTGTTCATATGTATTTCTTCTAAAAATAACAAAAGATCGTTGCTCAGATTTCAATCAACAACGGCGCCCACTAACAGAGGGTGGTCTGCCTGTGGTAAATGTACTGGATTTACCGTTTGCTTCACCTATAGCGATATATCGCTAACTATGTATATAAATCAATGATAAATAAACGTTGAATTACCTTACCTGTGGTGTATAGTCGTCCTTTTGCCTCAAAAGCGGTTTTTTGAGCGATTTTGAATGAATTTGAGTTCGCCGTTGACTGTTCCATATAATAGAAGGATAAGGGAGGAATCGTTGTTTTGAAAGGGTTCCAGCGCCGGAGCGATTTTCACCCCCAAAATCGCATTGCTCCGCTTTCAAACTTCGCAGCATAAAGGTTAAAATATTCACGATTCTTCTCGTACCTTCCAATCGAAAATCCATCCAAACGGCCCGGAGCTAGCCCTCGAAGAAAATCAAAATCCCACAGTATTCGAGCGACTGGAATTCGTAGCAAGATCCATACGTGCCAGCCAGAAACCGTCCCGCTGATTGCCTCTTTTTGATTGGATGTCGTTAAACAACAAACGCTTACCAAGTCTTCTTCATCAGTTATTACTTAACCATTTGTTTAACGACATCCAATCAAAAAGAGGCAATCAGCGGGACAGTTTCTGGCTGGCACGTATGGATCTTGCTACGAATTCCAGTCGCTCGAATACTGTGGGATTTTGATTTTCTTCGAGGGCTAGCTCCGGGCCGTTTGGATGGATTTTCGATTGGAAGGTACGAGAAGAATCGTGAATATTTTAACCTTTATGCTGCGAAGTTTGAAAGCGGCGCGATGCGATTTGGGGGGTGAAAATCGCTCCGGCGCTGGAACCCTTTCAAAACAACGATTCCTCCCTTGTCCTTCTATTATATGGAACAGTCAACGGCGAACTCAAATTCATTCAAAATCGCTCAAAAAACCGCTTTTGAGGCAAAAGGACGACTATACACCACAGGTAAGGTAATTCAACGTTTATTTATCATTGATTTATATACATAGTTAGCGATATATCGCTATAGGTGAAGCAAACGGTAAATCCAGTACATTTACTATAAAATAACAATCGGCTACACAAACCTATTGTGTGGGCTCCCTGTGGTTTTGTCTAGTGATCGCGTCATCTGCTCAGCCATGTGCATGTCACTTAAATTTCCCAAATAAAACGTGTTTCTCGGCAGGCAGCTTGAAAATAAGTAATAATAAAAATTTTCCTTGATCTGCTCCTCATAGAATTGAGATTTAACACATATAGGCATATCGCCGAAAAATAGAACCTGATACGTGACGTGGAGGCTAAAACGATGTGTTACGTTTCATTTTCTGGGTTTCGCATTTTGCCTATTTTGTTTTTTCATTATGGAGCGCTGTTTTGTGAGAAGTTTCAATAGCCTGAGAAAACAGTCGAATTTCGCGACGCCACCACTTTTTCCCCCACGAAATTACGTCTGAGAAACGAGCGCAGATTTTCCATACTGATGACGCGTTACTACCCAGATGTGAGTAGTGCTGCTGATTGGCTGAAGCAAATTTTTAGCCAAACAGATCTAGGTAGTGACGCATCATTAGGATGGAGTTTCTGAGCTCGTTTCTCGAACGTCATTTCGAGGGGAAACCAGTTGTAGCGTCTTGAAATGTCGGCTGTTTTCTTAGGCTAGAGTTTGAAAGGTTACTGCCAATTTTCGTGGACGCGCTGAAGTGCATCGTGTTGACGTTTATTTTTCTTTGCGAAGAGCCCTCCAAAGTTTCACATATCCAAAGAAGAAGGAGTCGCGATAAAAGTACTTTGAATAATGCATTGATCCTGACTGCTAATTTTGTTATCCAACCGGATTTATCAACTAAAACTCCCCACAAATCAAAGTTTACAATATGCTTCTCAGCTCCTTTACAACTCCATCCTGATGACGTCACTACCTGGATCTGTTTGGCTGAAAATTTGCTTCAACTAATCAGAAGCACTACTCACAGCTGGGTAGTGGCGCGTCATCAGGGTGGAAATTTTGCGCTCGTTTCTCAGATGTCATTTCGTGGGGAAAACAGCGGTGACGTCGCGAAGTTTCGGCTGTTTTCTCAGGCCATTCAAACTCCTCACAAAACAGCGCTCCACAATGAACGAACAAAATAGCCAAAATGCGAATTAAACCCAGAAAATGAAACGTAACACACCGTTTTAGCCTTCACGTTACCTATCAGGTTCTATTTTCGGCAATATATTACCCATGTCGAAGGCACTCCCTAATCTATGATAATACTTCTAGTCATAACAGTCCCATCTGCGTACCCTCCTCGTTCCGAAACCAGCGCCCCAGACCCCGCAGCAAAAGACTGCTGCTTACGGGCTTCATGGTTTATTTTCATTTAATGATCACATCATCTGGCTGCCTCGCTACTAATGGCTGTCTAACGGCTATACCAGGCATCCAGTACTCTAAGTTAATTCCTATTGAACAAAGTATATGATTGTTTCTGTTGTTGGTTTTGTTGTTGTCTTACCTACCAAAAACCTTTTTCGTCTGTACTCGAGTATGAACAAGTTTATACAGGAGTCATTTACAGTATCCCTTTCTTCTAAGTCACCTTTAGAAAAAGATCAAAACGCCTTACCAGTGCATTTTCTTCCATCTCCTGAATATCCTGCTTTACATGCGCATGCATACGATCCAACAGTATTGTTACACACCGCATTGACGCCACAGCTGTGGGCATTGGAAGAACACTCGTCGATATCTGGGAAAATGTAGTGAAGCTTGGCGTAAAGATAAGAGATTTTGCATATGCCTGATGGCAGTTCAGCGTAACTTTGATCAATTATTCAGCAATTATTGGATTCGGCTTCCTTATTTTTACCCTCTTCCCCTCCCCTTCTTGCATAATTCTTCATATCATACAAAGCAGAATCAAACATTTGTTTAATTAATTGAAGGTATTTCAAAACCTTAAATCATGCTTTTCTTCATCGATGTAAAGTTTCGTCTGCATAACATTTGCCTCTTCCTCGGAAAATTCAGGAAATAAGGGCAAGTTTAGTCTAGCCGGAAAATATTTATCTTCATGGGCAGCTGTCATCGGTCGAGTGGTATGTTTGCTGTTTTGCTTTGCCGTTAACGTTCGCCATTTTCTCCAGCATTACCAAAACCGAACTACCAAGCCTTCGGCTATCTTTTTTTTGATGAATAATTAACCGTTAAAATTCCTGGGAACCCAGGGGCAGTCAAGCCAGATTCGACACAAAACCGGATATTTTTTGGAACAGCCAATATATATATTTTTTAAACACGAACCGGCCTTTCGTCCACATGAAACCTATGAATCCTTTCACCGAAGCTGCATCTTTCTCAAACCGCGCTCCAGAAAGGTTTAAGGCCTCGTCCATACGAATACAGTTGTGTAAAGAAATATGCGGTTTCCGGATTCGTGTAGCAGGGGCCTCAGTCGAGTCAGGAGAAACGGCATAACTAACTGCCCCTAGGTTTCCGAGGATGTCTTACTAGTCTCATCTCTGAGGATATCTGCAAACATCTTCCAAATTTGGTTAACGGTAGATGGCTATGAAAAATTAGCTGGGGGAACACGCAATCAAAAACGGGCAGGTGTTTTGAATTATCTACTTGATAGTTTACTCTTGGTTGCTAAGGTCAGAGTATTCATTTTTCTTATTTTTCTGCGAAACAAGGCAGGTGACAGTGTTAAGGGTTTGTTTCACACCCCGTAGGAATTGCACCCTTCAGCCATTTTTTGACTTTATTGCCCTCTCAGAATCCGCCCACACGAACCGAATATTTTTGAGAACTGCCTTTTGGATTTTGGATTCGTGTGGACGCGGCCTCAGTTTACTTATTATCTATAAATATACCATTGCAGGTTTTTCCATCTCCTGTGTACCCGGCATTACACGAGCATGTGTATGAACCCGCGTTATTCTGGCAAACGGAATTGACGTCACAGGAATGGGAACCAGTGGTACATTCATCCAAGTCTAAAAGGGAAAATCACATAGTGAAGAAATTAAACACTCTTTACTCTTATCCTGTCTTAAAAGTGAAGAATTCCTTTCCTTTGTATATAGCTGTGTAACTAACTGTCGAGAGAAAATAACATATGGGAAAAACGTGACTCGCAAAAAGGATCTTACAAAGCTTGCCCTGAGCTCATGTTCTTGAACCATTTATAATTCAGAGTTAATGTAGTTAAATGTCTTGGGGCACTATCTGCTAACAGAGGTTCATAAAACATAATTATTAATGATCTTGGTATGCCTAATACCTTTAAAACAAGTGTAGTTATAGCAGTTATGACAAGGCACATCATTCCAGGTGTAACCATGCTTGGCTCCAAGAGTGTGAACACAATCTTCGTTTTTCCAGTCGTTCGGTTGCTGTGGGGCCCAGAACCTAAATTTGCTTATTTCTTTGTTTGTCCACACAAAGGAGCCCTCCACACTTCGGTCATTGAGTCCGATCCAGGATCTCTCTCCGTTGGGACGGTGTTGAATATAGACGTTTTCATTCTGGTTGTGAACTGTTACCAAACTGGAACTCATCGTAGAACAGTTTGATACAGCAGTGAGCCACGAGCCACAAGTGCGACTTGTAAAGTAACAGTAGCCACTAAAATAGCTCCAACCTGGTTGGCAAATACCTGGGAAATAGATGCAACATTTGTGGAATTAAGATACCCAATTACCTCGGATAGTTATCACTCTATGTACCTTACGTTTGATAAACATAAATATATCGAGTGCCTACATTTAATAAGCTAGAGACACTTAAAAACTGCATGAAATCATACTAACAGTATATAAAGTGTACTAATTAATGCGCATCAAGTTAAAAAAGTGCTTCACAACGGCAACTCGCACCGAGGCGTCTTAAAAGAAATCCACTCTTGCAATGTCATCCACGCTTTAATGGGTGCTGGAATAAACCGGTTTAGGATTACCTTAAGCACCGCCTTTCAGGTTAATATTGTTGGTTAATATTAAGTTAGCTGTATCTATGTAAAAGAGTTCCTAGTCTGATAAGGATGTCGCCCTTTACCTGACAAGACAGTATATGATACGGAGAGAGGGTCGTACTTTGAGTCGTACAATTCCTTTGTACACACTCGCGCCCCTGTTGTATTGATGTACTAAAAATTAAAAATAAAATAAATAAAACAAAATAAACAAAAACAGATGATCATTTGTACATGTTTTAATTCACCAATCCTAAATTATCATGTCTTAGTCTAGACAAAAAATTAATTTGCTTCTGATTACTGTTGGTACCTTAAAATACAGTTCTATCGACTTTTAAAGCACTGCGTTAAGTCATTACGTCATTGAAACTGGTTTAAGTGCCCATAACCTAACATTTATTATTATTATTATTATTATTATTATTATTAAGATTATTATTATTATTATTATTATTATTTGAAAGTACACATTACTGCGAGAACCTCGATCGCCTGCGGAAAAATTTTGCGACGCGAACACAACGTTGTTTGTTTCATAGATTTTTTTCTTAAACGTTCAAAGTTGAGGCCATTTTGACACACCATTGGTCTTAGTCTTGTCACTGAAATCCCCCGGGAACAAAGAAGATATGACGCAAATTAAGGAACTATGACGTAAATTAAGGAAAACGTAACTTTAGATGCAAGAAAACATGTGTGGAGCCATGTTAGTTCAATCATTTTTTAGCACGTCTTTTTATCACCGAACCATTTCCTACACATTATAATCACTATTAGTTTACTGCCATGAAAGCAAGCTCAACAAGGATCACAAGCTCACGATACCGTTCCACATGTCCAAGTTTTAGCAGTCACTGACTCACCTCAACCCAAGCGGTTATGGAGTTGTGCATTGGATCCTGACCTCCCCCACTGGAGGTGTGATTCGCTGATACAAATACACTTGGGGCATTCTTGTACAATTTGGTAAAGGAAATATCCTAATAAAAGAACATACAATGAATTTCAAAATCGATGAAAAGAGCCGTCAAATTAACGTATGGTGAAAACGTGACAAAAAATAAAGTTAAGCGAGATACTTTTTATACTGACCTTGCAGAATGCGTTATTATTCCAGACTGCAGGCTTCTGAGAGTTTGCAAAATAAACTGAACTGTGTTCTGAGAACATGGGCTTGTCAAGTGACGAAAAAGCCAACCAGTTCTACGAAAAGAGAAAAAAAAAAGAAAAAGAAAAGAAAAGAAAAAGAAAAGAAAAGGAAAATGGAAAGAAAGAGAAAATTCGCTACATTATGTAATTTGAGACAATTCAACGCGCAACAAATATAATGCTGAGAAAGGACGTAAAAAGGCAAAAAATGAAGTATGCTACATACGACATAGATGTCCTCATGTGAGCCCGCGTAATTTTGCAGTTCTCTTAAACATGTTTTAAAGGAAGATCGTGTGATATCCTCCAACCAAATACTGGCGGCGTCTCTCTTCAGTCCGGCATGGTGATGTGCAACGGTCACAAAAACTGAAGGCTCCTTTGGAAACTAAACCAACACAGAAAAATTACTTGTATCAACTTTTCTAAGCAAGCCATGTTGTGAATAAAAGTTTAAATCTATAACATTTTAAATAACTTATTTTATAATAATCAATTAATTAATCAATTAAAACACTTCCTTGCTAGGTAGTAACAAAGACA